ATTTAGGATTATGTGGACCAGTTGATGAAAAGTCATCAAATAAAGTCTATGGAATTGTATCATATGTTGCACCTGAGTTACTTAGAGGTGGAAAAAACACAAAAGAAACAGATATCTATAGTGTTGGGATGCTAATGTGGGAAATATTTGCAGGTCGCCCACCATTTGATGATAGAGCTCACAATCACCACTTAATGTTTAATATAAATGCAGGTTTACGACCACCAATATTACCTCAAATGCCTGATGATTATATGCAAATGATGCAGAGGTGTTGGGATGCGGATCCATCAAAAAGACCAATTAGTGGAGAACTTTGGAAATTCGCTATTAAGAAATTAAAAGAAGTTCATAATAATAGTAGTATTATCAGTAGTAGTATTAGTAGTGGTAGTAATAATAATAATATTACTACTAGTGGTAGTAATGGTGGTAATAATAGTAATATTACTACTACTAGTAGTAGTGTTTTGCAACAAGTACACAAATCACATCCAGACGCATACCATACAAGTAGAGTCTTAGATGAAGAGATTGTCAAATATAAAAGGCTAAAAGGTTATACAAGTAATGAAAAGAATTTTGATTTTAACAAAGGTGAATAAAAATTATCATTATTAATTAATTGGAACTACTATCAATTACTAATGATATTTTTTAATTAATTAATAAACATTAGGTTCTAGTAATAATAATAATAAAAGAAGAAAGATTGATTAAATGACTAATTTAATCTTCACTATAAATTTATTCATTCTAGCTATTTATCTTTTTATTTTATTCATTATTTGTTCCTTAAAGCTAAATTATAATAATAATATTTAATAAACTTTTTAGTTTTCTCATTCTTATTAAATGGTGATATTTAAAGTAGCTTTTTGTTAACGCCAATTACGGCTTGACTTTCGGATTACTCTTGCCAATTAATCGCAATAATTCAGTGCTTGTCAATTAATTAGTTTATGAATTTATTTGGGTTCTCCTTGTACCTAAACGAGTTTGTAAGCATATTTAATGGTGCCAGATAACTGTAAATAAATAAAATGGCTTCAAAGGTTCTATAGAGTTCCTTGTGATCGGTTTATTTCAGTCATTTATATTTATTGGTCGATTGCAAACTCACTTTGATTTTATTTGCAAAACAACTTAAGCAGCTTGTTTAACAGCCTTACACTAATATTTCCGATTAACCTTGGACGATACTTCATTAATACTCACTAGTTAACCAACGTTGGTCCTAATCTTGTTTACTCATTAAAGGAAATGAAATGTGGGTTTTTTTACCAAAGTTCCACAATTGTTGTCTTTTACCAATTTACTACACTTGTTGCTTTTATCAAAGCACTTTAAACAAAGAAAAAGACAATGTTTTTATTTATTTTTAAAAGGTTATTAACGTTTAATATAAAAATAATGACTCTATCGCAGAGTTTAAAATGTTAATTATTTGTAAATAAATTTTATATTATAAGCAAGGCCTGAAATATTAATTAAATGGTTAATTAACCAGTCGATTGATTGATTGTTCTTTCACTTGGTCAAAAGGTAATAATTTTTATGTTCTAAAAATTTAAAAATAAGTAATAATAATAAAATGACACATGTCTAAAACATGATTGGACAACAATCTGTTTTATCACAATATTTAAAATGTAAATCATATTACAAATAGTAATACACCATTTCCCTCAGCATCTTCAGCAACACCTGTAATTTTTGAATCTGATATCCAAAAACCAGCACCAGTTTTTTTCAATGTAACTGCTTCTACTACTATTTTTTTTATTTATTAAATCATCAAGTAAGTGAAATGCCTGTTTTGAATTCCTAATTGTTCTATCAAAATTTTCCTCATAAATTGAAAGTGAATTCAATTTTTTGTCAATTATTTTTTTATTCTTCAATTGAAGAAAAATTCCAATTACATCATCTCTAACAATGATATTATCTTCTTCTAATTCTTCAATTGTTCTACTAATGATATTAATTACTCTAATTGCATCTGTAGTTACATTGATTAAGCCTGGGTTGTCAACAGCTCTACATTGACAATTACTACAGCTACCACAGGAAGAAGACAGTATCTGTTGACCATGCATAAAAGTTAAGTAATTTTTGTTGGAAGCATTTATATTTTTCTTCACAAAAAAAAACCATTATTTTGCAAAGGCTTTGGAGTCCTTGTTCAAGATAAATTCTCCTTTGCAAAATTTCATTTTTCAAGCACTTGGTCACATAAATAGGTAATATTTCAATATTGTCAGATCCTAATAATGATGGTTTAGATATTTTTTCTGAAACTCCTAATTCATCTTTGAAGTTGTTAAACATATGATCATAATGTTTTATTTCCTTTGAACTGGTGAATATATAGTCATTTTCAAAACTCTCAAATGTATACTGTAATTCTCCATCATTTTTTATATCAATAGATAGTCCAACATACTTGTTCTTTTTTGTTAGAATTAAATTAATGGAATCCATACTGTGTTTTCATCTTCTAAATCAGATTCCATGCCTATAGGGGCTTTTATCGATGGTGTTCAGTTGATATGAATCATCATGAACAAAAATACTTTGATCTTTTCAATAAAATAATTTATAATATTATTTTCTGTTAATGATTTATACCAGTTTTTCACTTTCAAATGCTAAATATAAAAAATATTTTATTAATAAGATAGTTTTACTAACAATAAGAAGCTATCATTAAGCTGGTGAAAATTTGCTTTAAATTAATTAAAATTATTTATTTATTTCAGAAAGAGTAATTTTTACTATACATTGTATACTTTGGTTATGGGATTGGCAACTTTTTTTGA